TTCTCCAGTTAAATTCATTTGTATGTGATTTTGAATGTCAAACAAAATTATTTCTTAATTAACAAGGCTACAACATCACATAATCAAAGTAAACAGTCCTGGTTTTTTTTTGGCCCACTTTTATAATTTAAGCTGCAAAAATATTTTGTTGTTTCTCTGATGGAAAAGTACACATGCAATGCAGTTGATCTAGTTCCTCATGCATACTTACCACAAAATCGAAATTTCAAAATTCTTACAGATTTCCACAAAATACTCTTGAACTAGATAATATAGTGAAATAAAGCTTTTAAAGAAGTAGGACAAGTCGAAGAAAAAAAACCCACGACATTGAATGAAAACTTTGGGGGAACAACATTTTCATGCTGCACTTAATGGTTATGGGGTCACTGGGTCATCCCTGAAATCTTTTTTTTCCCTTCAATTAATTCATTTGCACATGTATAAGTTGAAGCTACTGTTATCAATACAAAACTTATAGGCATGTATGAAGTCAGTACAGCAGCTAAAATACATTACAGAATAAATCAGCAATCCAACCTCAAATGGTGCAAAGCCAGACTGCCCATCTAAATTCAGCACTGAAATTCCCATGATCAGCCTGAACAAAGGCTCGGCGGTGCAATAACCAGCCAATAACGCCAATACATAATTGTAAACGTTGGACTGCAAACAGAACCTTTGGGCTTTGAAATCCTTCTTGATCCGCCATATTCGATAGATGCAGAGACCCAGAAGAACCAAATGAGAAATGGAGGCAACTAAAGAATCAACCGCGCATGGCGTGTATGCACCAAACGCATTCTCCACCGCTTTTGTCCACACCCCATGGGCCACCGGACGACAATACCAATCCAAAGGAACAAAACCCATCTTTTTGGTCACTTTCTTCACAAAAGTTGCTCACTTTAAAGCACATAATCCATCTCAGTCCCCACTGTGAGCCACTCCTGCATTATGATAAAATTTACCTTTAGCCTCAGGTGGAAAAACCAAGCATCAATCAATGGAATCTCTTCAAAGGGTAAAACTATAAATAAATAAATTATAATTCCTCATTTTTAAGCTGAATAATAGTTTCCCAACTTTTGGCTTTCTCCGAGAAAACATTATGGGTCAAAAGAATAGGAAAAAAAATTACAACCAATCGAAAAATGTATCGTCAAGAAAAGAATAGAAACTTGACCCAAAAAAAAAAACAAACAAACATTTGCTATATGTTACCAAAATTTTCAAAGGAAGTTTCTATTTTCTCTGGTTAATACCGTATTAATAATACCTGACACTCTAAGATTCTAAGCTCTGCTATACCCTGGTAGTACTTTTTCTCAGTAACCAAACAGAGCACTAGACTCAAACTAGCAAAACATAGCAAATCTAAATTCAACCCAACAAGCTTGTAAAAGAATACGGAAATGGATGAAAAGCGTTCATTAATACAAAAACAAAATTCAAACGTAACAAAACCACACCATTTACAGGTTTAATACAAACATGAACAACAACAACAACCATAAATTTCAGATTTCAGAAGAACTTATACCTCAGAGACTTCGCATTTAGTCAAAACCAAGAAACAAAACTGCTTGCCTCAAACAAAAACTAAAACTAAAACTAAGACAAAGAAAACCGTAGAGCAAAAGCTTCGACTTTTTTGGGTTAAAAACAAAGAAAATAATAAAACGTTAAATCCCAAAAAGCTCCTCCTGGGCATTTGGTACAGAGAAAGTGGAAGGAGAAAAGCCCATTTTCATGGAGAAATTGCTAACCTTTTGTGGCCTTCTGTTTGTATTTTAACGTTGCTCTGCGGCAGTAATGAAATGGAATTGGTTCTCTTATTCTGATGGTATCTAATTCCTGTGGAGGAACCAAAGACCAAAGCTTTATTTTATTTTATTTTATTTTATTCCCTCTATTTTTATTTGTTAACGACCCAATGCACCTAAAATTAAAAAAAAAAGAAATTTTTTCGAAAAAGGTCGGTTGAATTGGTTTGGTGCGTCATCGATTACGATCAAGGTCTTTTTCCTTGTGATGTTCTATAAGGGGCTACCGTACAAAAACAATTCGACTCTGCGGTACAAAATTATAAGGATAATGTGGAAATTTGGGTTTTTGTTCTTGTGTGTATAATAGTTAAATGTATGGAGGTGGGAGGAGATAGGGGAGAGGTGGGCTGTGAGAAGGGTATAGTTGTCTTTTTGGTGAGTGTTGGGTGAGGAAAAAAGGTTACATGTAGTGATGTGGTCAATCATTTGATAAATTATTATGTTGTGCTTTGATTTTTTGGGAGGTTTCAACCTTTGGGTTGTATCTACCAAAAATATAGGAAAGAACTTTTAGATTGCATTTAGTTCATGGAAAAAGTCTCTTGAAATAGGAAATGATTTGTTTTCTCATATTTGGTAAGTTCACACATGAAAAATGATTTCCTGGCTCGTTAATAATAAGGTAGAAATGAAATCTTCCACCCACCTTGAGTTTTATTTTCTCCTCTCATGAGAAATCAAAATAAGCATTAATTACAATGTCTTATGACCAATTTGCTACTGAAAAAATCATTTTTATAACATCACATGCATTAATTATTCTAGAATCACGTCACGTGTAAAATTATTTTAACTTTAACTTTTTACTGCAATCAACAATGATCTCCACCAAACATACGTAACGCTTTAGCTAATACACGAAAGTATATACCATGATTTTTATGCTTATCAATAACTACGGTTAAGCCAAAATTAAAGGTCACAACAAAAAGAGGAAAAAAGAAAAAGGAGGGTCTGTAGCTCTGATTTTTGGATTGGATACTTGTAAAGAATAATAAAAATAATAAATAAAAATAGACACGTGTGATGTGGAAGGCAGAAGAAGCGAGTATATATCTTTTATTTGGTATCGCAAGTGCACACATCACATGTTTTGATTGTCAGCGTCGTTTGGTTTATTTGTATCACATCCTCCTGACACCCTGACGCGCACAAGCCGGAGCGAATCCGCCCCATTAAAAAGCTTTTACTTTATTCCTTGTCAAATAAGTAGGAATTTCTATATTTCTGCTAATAGCAATGTGACATATGTATTAAGTTTTTTTTTGTTTGTATTTTTGATGAATTATTTTTGGATATTTGTCATTCTATAATTTGCATGAAGGAGAAATATCTCCTTATCTTTTATTGTTTTTAAATATCTGTTTACTAGTTGGTTTTTTGTTTTGGTAATATTGTTATTTGAAGCTGACAGATGTGGTGTAAGATTAATTGAGCAGGCCAATGAATCCGTCCATTTACACCCAAGTTCGACTCCCTCTTTACGTAAACTTGTATAGTGATAATTTGAAGAAAAAAATCAAAGTCCGCCTAACAGGATTAGTTTTCTCATCTTCGCATATGCACGCATGTATACGTATACAATGAATCTATCAAGTGTAGACTTGGTCTTACCAAAGTATCTATTATTTTCACTTTTTAAAGCCCTGATTTTGAAAATTGAAATTGCATATCATATGAAAGTCGAAAGTGCATATTGACCAACAACTTTGGACACAATTAATTTCATATTCAGGATTGGATGTTGAAATTGAATGATGATATATATAATTCAGTTAAGAGTAGAACGTTTGGTTAGACTGATAGGAATGACTTGCAGGAATCAGTCCAATTCACTCAGCATATAAAGTCGCTTTTAAATTATAGTCGCCGTCAATCCTTTGCCTCGACTTTACTTCAATCAGTGAAAAAAGTGCACCAATGGCCACGACTTTGCTTCTATTAAGCCATTTCTATAAGGAAGCTTGTGCGGCAAGGGGGGGCCATTCCCTCCCTAATTGATTCGACATCTTATAAGACTCACTTGATTTTGTGATGATTTTTTGACTCTTCATTTCTATATCATTTTTTTATTTTATTTTATTTTATAAGACAAACCCTATAGCATTAACATTAAGACCAATGAAATAACGAGACGAACGATACTTAAAATATATATATATATAATGACTATCGTTTAGTCAAATAGTTAAATGTTATATGATTTGAGTGATTTTTGAATGAATGATTAGTGAATGAAAACTTTACAAATGATGAGTCAGATTATTGAAATGCGGACAATTATCTATGAACTAATGTATAATGAACCCTTGATTTATGAATGTATATCCTAAAGTGAAATCCATTAAAAGAGACAAAAATGATGTCTAAAACAGTATTGTTTGTCTTGGCCTAAATGGATCTTTCTGCCGCTATTTGTGGAATGGAATCTCAAGTACCGAGTACTACTGACATCTCTTTCGGTGGCTCTAATTACTCCCTCACAAACAAAGCCACATGGTCTTGATAGATTACACACAAACACAACTTCCACCTTCTTGTGTTGTTGCCTTGTGTATATGTGGGTGCTACTAGCTAGTTAAGCTATCCCCACTTGGAGCTCATTTTGTAAAACATCATGTGGAGTCCATTGCCCCAAATTTCGTAACTTTTCTTTCCTTTTTTCTTGGGTACAAAATAAGTCTTAAATTCTGGGAAAAGAATATCGAAACTTGTAATTAGGGTAATTGCTCTACACCACTAAAAACTTACAAGTTCTCACATTATCTCATATATTTGGTGACAATAGCAATTCAATCAACAATTTTATTAGTGATGTGGTACATGCAGCACATTATTCATATTTTAACGAACAATTTACCAATGGAGTGTTAGTTAGATTGGATCAAGTCTTTAGTGTATTCTCAAGTGGTTATGAGTTCAAGTATCCATGAGACCCGTGTATGTGAGTTTCCTCCTCCATTTTCTTAACTCTGGCATAGAAAAAAAAAAGAAGGAACAATTTATGGAGGTAATGGTGGGTTTGTTTTAACTAATGGGCTCAGTTAAGCTCCAGCCCAGTAGCCCATATCAAAAGCCCACTCCAACCTTTTTCAGCCCACCCAAATCCATGAACCCAGCCTTAAGCCCTTTCTTCCTCGTTCGGTTTCCCTCTCTTTCTTCATTCTTCCATTGAATTAAAGCCTGTGTAATTTAATTTTCTCTTTCTAATTTTCCCAATGAAATTTGGATTGCAGGGCGATGAAACAGAGTGCAATGAGAAACAATAATGTCTATGAACAATGTGTACAAGGTCCACTCTTGGTTCATCAAGATTGGCACCCACAACCACCCTCTCTCCCTCCGACGCCTCCTTCTATGGTGCTCTGCAACACCATCCCACGAAAGCTTACCCTACGCCCGCTCTCTCTTCGCCCACTTTCCCTCTCCGGACACCTTCGCTTACAACACCATCATCAGAGCCCACGCAACATCCCACTCCTCTTGCTCCCATGCGCTCTCATTCTTCACCCAAATGCGTAGGCATGGCGTCCCGCCTGATAACTTCACCTTCCCATTTCTTCTCAAGGCCTGCGCTCGCCTCCAACTGGGTCAGGACCTGCATGCACTTATTCTCAAGCTTGGGTTTGATTCAGATATTTATGTTCAGAACGCATTGCTTAGTTTTTATGGGGGTTGTGGGTCGGTTGAGCCTGCACTGAACATGTTCCATGAAATGCGTGAGAGAGACTTGGTTTCTTGGTCTTCCATGATTGCTTGTTTTGCCAACAATGGGTTTGCATACGAAGCTCTTGCCTTGTTTCAGCAAATGCAGCTTGCAGAGAATGTGATGCCAGATGAGGTTACTATGCTCAGTGTAATTTCACCTGTTTCGATGTTGGGGGAAATTGAATTGGGGGAGTGGGTTCATCAATTTATTCACAGAAATGGGCTAGAACTTACTGTTTCATTGGGAACTGCTTTGATCGACATGTTTTCGAGATGTGGCTCCATTGATAAATCTATCAGAGTGTTTGATGAAATGCCACTGAGGAATGTGCGCACATGGACAGCATTGATTAGTGGCCTTGCAGTGCATGGCCGCAGCAGAGAAGCTCTGAGGGTCTTTTATGAGATGAAAGAATCTGGCTTGCAGCCAGATCACATTGTTATAACTGGGGTTTTAGTGGCATGCAGTCATGGAGGCCTTGTTGATGATGGTTGGAGGGTTTTCAAAAGCATTGAAGATGAGTACGGCCTGAAGCCAACGCTTGAGCATTATGGTTGCATAGTCGACCTGCTTGGCCGGGCTGGCTTGCTTCACGAAGCTTACGAGTTCGTGGAGAAAATGCCGGTAAGGCCGAATCCAGTAGTTTGGAGGACTTTGCTTGGAGCATGTGTAAATCATAACCATCTTGCATTGGCTGAGAGAGTGAAGGAGAGGGTCCAGGAGCTAGATCCTTACCATGATGGAGATTATGTGCTTTTATCTAATGCTTATGGGGGAGCCGGGAGATGGGTTGAAAAGGAAAAGGTTAGGACTTCAATGAGGGCAAAGAGAATTAACAAGAACCCTGGATATAGTTTAATCAGTGTAGATCATGCCATTCATGAGTTTGTATCAGGGGCTAACTCTCATCCCCAATTTGAGGATATTATAGAATTCTTGGAGAGCATAATTGAAAGTATAAGAGACACAGGTTATACTCCTCATACATCAAATGTGTTGCATGACATTGAAGAGGAGGAGAAGGAGCAATGTCTTGGTTATCATAGTGAGAAATTGGCTGTGGCTTTTGCCCTTCTGAGTGTCAAGGATAGTAGGACGATTCGGATCATGAAGAACCTCCGAATATGTCGTGACTGTCATTCGTTCATGAAGCATGTTTCAGAAAAATTCGGTAGAGAAATTATCGTTCGTGATCGAAACCGATTCCATCATTTTATCAAGGGATCATGTTCTTGTCAGGATTATTGGTGATAGATGGCTTGTAATATCATCTATCAGATTGCTCATAAATTTTGCTTACCCTCCTTTTTCTCTGTGAACACATTATTACTTATGCAGTTTTTGGGAGGGAAGGAATAATGGAGAAGTTTCATGAGCAAGTTACATATTTTCACTTTATGACAAATGATGTTGATGAAAGAATTGAATCAGAATCATAATGAACAAAGGGATGCTGTGAACTTTAAATTTATATAAAAAATTCCGAAAATATCACACGTAACGAAAGACCTCTTAAAAAGACTTGACACTTTCTAAAGTAAATATTATCGAAGGCCTTGAACTAATCAGCCAGAATTTTGAACTCCAAGCTTATGTTTTTTTGGGTGAAAAGAACTACACATTTCAGCGCGCCAAGCATGGCACAACCCGTGCTTCTTCATTATGTGCTGCATTTAACAGATGTAAGTGGATAGCAAGCCCTTTAGAGCATCCACAGTGGGGGGTATATATGGGGGTGTATGTTAAATATATACTCTTGAGTCACTGGAATCGTTTCCAATGGGAAAATGTAAATATACATCACCACCGTGGGGATGTAAAATAAAATGTATATTTACATCTATTTTTACATCCATTGCAATGCGGGACCCACCCGAGAAAAGAGAAGAAAGATGAAGAAAAGTCAACATAAAAGGCTGGGACCCACGACTATACCCCCGAATTTACATCATCCCATTGGAACAAAAAACATATTTACACCCCCTGATGTGTAAAGGGGATGTAAAAGTGGCTTTACACCCCTGAATTTACACCCCCCACCGTGGATGCTCTTAGAGCATCCACAGTGAAAGGTGTATGTTAAATATACACTCCGAGTCACCAGAATCGTCTTTAATGGGGAGATGTAAATAGATGTAAATATACATCACCACCATAGGGATGTAAAATAAAATGTATATTTACATCTATTTTTACATCCCTTGCAGACGGGACCCACCCGAGAAAAGAAAAGAAAAATAAAGAAAAGTCCACATAAAAGACTAGGACCCACAGCTACACCCCCGAATTTACACCCCCCCATTGGAGCGAAAAACATATTTACACCCCCCGTAGGTGTAAAGAGGATGTAAACGTGGCTTTACACCCCCAAATTTACATCCCCCACTGTGGATGCTCCTACAATCAAATCAAATAGTAACGAAGAAAAGTAATATAAGGTTTTCTTGTTATAATTTCCCATTTAACTCAAAAGGAAGCATCTCCGAAGTTCACTGCCAAGTATTTTACACAACACATCGGAAATACAGTGCCAATATATACCACTCATGCTATCCAAAATAAAAGAAACAGGCCCCATCGTATAGCGTTATGTAACAATGGGGAAAGAAAAAAGAATTAACAAATAAAAACATCAACTGACTCAATGCAGCCTTGTCAATTCTTCTACTCTTTTGCAGAGCTCCTCCACTGAAACGCGCATTTGTTTTGAAATTTCATCCATCTTGCTACGGCTGAGATCAAGGAACGATTCGATTAGATCGCCGTCCAAGAAATTTTTGGCGTCTACAGTCTTCTTTTCATTGTTGAATGACCTCCACTGCTCATGGCTTAACCCTCCAACACCCTTTATCACCTTCCTCAAGTTTGACTGGAGCTTCTCCAAAAACACATACTGCTCTTGGGGAAGTGAGGCAATGACTCCAATTACACCGTTGACAGTGCCGAAAATGACAGTTGGGATCTGGCCCACATCAGAGTCTGGCAAGCGCATGACAAGAGAGCCATGCCGAAACCTATTGACAAATTCACCTAGGTGATACTCACCAACAACCTCAAGACGGCCACGTTCCTCATCAGTTGCACCTTCACTATTTTTCCGAACACTGAAGAGGTTGAAGAAGTTTTCAGCTCCAAGGTAAACATCATCATCAAGGATCTCTACAGCTGACATCCAATTTGCATTATAGTCGCGTGCTCGCTCCTCAATGGAACTTTCCTCATGCTGAATACAAGAACAAATATTTTGAGTTTAACAAGAGAATAGTCCTTAAACATGTCCCATAATGAACTAGCAGAGCAGACACAAAAGGAATTCTTTTCATGAGGCATTCATTAATCTACCCACAACACATATGACCTCCCACCAAATATCCCAACAGCACAATTCAATTTCGCTGTCATCAGGTAATGTAAGGTTGAACCTTTACGAAATTCATCTGGAACTAAACAAATCTACTACTGCTACCACTTTGAGCCAGTACTAGTTCATGGTCTGTGGAAGGCTGAATATTAGTTTATTACCTTGTAGATTAACAGAGAAATTGACTTCATCAAATCCCCAACAACAATGAAATCTCCACGAGTCTGGACATAAAGCGCTAGTATGTGGCCGTGATGTCCGCATTCCGATTGCAACTCGCGAGTACCATCATCCCGCAGAGTCCACTTGTATATCTGTATCTTTTGATTGATAGCAGCAAGTAACTTGCCATTGAATGCATTCAAAGAGTAAACAGCCCCCTTGGTTTCCTTCTCAGCGACGAGTTGCAGCTTCCCATCTTCAACCGTGAAAACTAGAATGCGACCCTACAATTAGACAATGCAGTTAGCAAGGGAGAATGAAAAATCAGTCAGTTACCAGTTCAAGTGAGATTTCTGCACTCAAACCAGTAAGCTTAAATGCCATCTTACTTTGGTTGGCTCATTTTCTTCTGGGAGAACATATGCCGTCCCAACACAGTAATATACATTACTGTCATCTGAGAAGGAACAGCTAAGTATGGAGCAGCCATACTCAAAAGCATCAAGTTGATAATATGTTATGAGGTCAAAACTCTGGTCATCTAACAAGCGGATGAAGTGTGTTTCTGAATCTTCTGCACTAGATTGGTTATATTTCACGCTAGATATGGCAAAGGTCCTGGACTGCTCCTGATGGCAGATACGGCGTGCATGCTCTCCTAAGGGGATAGAGCGGATATGAAGCTTCTGGATGTCATCAATTGTGCCAATAGTTAGTTCACCTTCTTTAGCAATCGCAAGGCTGTTGTCATAAGAAAAAGGGCATCAATCCATGAAGTAACAGAACTGGAAACATGCCATTCCTCAACCAGCTTATGGTTGTATCTACATTGCACCCAAACCATTTATTCTCTTAATAAAATACTAACTAGTCATAATAACCCAGTACCTAATCCATCCTGCATTTGCACCAGCTAATGGATAGAAAATAGGAAGATTCAGTGTGGAAGCACTTATCAATTTTTGCAGTAAACTGCACCCTATAGGGTGCCAGGCCTAATATTTTAAGATATCACCACATGATAACATTTTTAAAAGATTTAAAACATGCACAGTTACATATATAACATTTGGTCAGTTTTTAAAAGTAATAAATAAATCACGCCAACCAATGGTAACTACTAATAACTAAGCATCCTAAGGTGGTATTCTGACTCATCACTTTATTAACTACTGCCAACCATTTTGAAAAAGCCTGATATATAATTTGTTGTATGTGCAAAGTTACTGCATAAAAAATTTATAGCGTATCACAAATTGAAAATAGGAAAAAAGATTACACAATTTGATATACATTAAACCTAGATCCTACAAACAATTTAAACAGTGAAGGATAAAGAGAGAAGTACCTGTCTGGAAAAGCAGCAGAGTTGAATGGGCACATATGGCTGACTTCTTTCAAATTTACGTTGCTGTAAAGCAGCTTCTTGTTGCTACTGTAAATGACAGTTGGCCTATCTGATGCAGCAAATACATGCGTAGTACTCTTGGATGAGAAAGTACGGAGTGTAATGGGTTGAGTCCCGAGAGAGACTTTTTTCCTGTCCGTTAACTCACCAGTACTTGTGTTCAATATAAAATTTAAGAGGTGCCCATCTCCAAGGGCACATAACAGATAGGATATCTGAGTGGAAAAAAAAATAGTAACACAAAACTTTAGTCAAAAACCAAATAACCACAGCATAAAAACTCTGCTAAGGAACCGAAGAAAGCAATTCATGTGAAAATTACAAATCCATCATCTATGCTACAGAAGTCAAACATGATTATATGCTCCGACTCTTTAGATGGATTCCAAAATGGTAATAATGGAAATCATAACCAGTTAAGCATGCTATTAGAAGATCCACTCCCTAATAGTATTCCCAAAAAAGACATTATATTTGTGACCAACAATAATGAGTAAAAGTGAGAAAAGACTTAGTGAAGTAGGCTCAAGCACAGGCATACCCCTTCAAAGGCACAAAGAAGAACAGAACGAGGTATGATCTCTCCTCTCAAATGTTCCTTGGTGATGCGGCTCAGGTCAGGAAGTGAATATATCTGGACACTTATATCTGTCCACATTCCAACGGCTGCTAGCTGGCTATAATTGGGATTTTCACCTATGGGGTTTATGTCAAGGCATGAGATCTCAAAGTCCAACTGTGCATGGGTTTTCTGTGTCAAAACCCCATCACCAATTTCTAAATAAACTAAATGCTTTCCTCCAGTTGCCAATAAAACCTGTCACAGAAATAGATTACAGCAACAACCAGTTAGTGCATCAACAACAGGCCCAACCAAATGTTTGTGCAGACATGTCCCAAACAGAACAAATACCATGTTAGGATATCCTCTGCTCATTTGCAATGCTGATACTAGATTATTGACCAAGTACTAATTATTAAAGGGATTTTATCTACACACAAGAATCTATCAAAAAGAATTGTCAAGTTTTAAGATATTTTGGGAATATACTAGGATGTGTTGAGTAAAGGTTGGTTTTTCATGTGGATAGAATCCCCTTATGAAAAACCACCCATTCTACAATATGAAAGTATAATTACGTCTAGAAAATTTAAGGTACATGTTTCCTAATTCTTCATAGGTTTTACTCAAGAATTTCCCAACAAATATATATCTGACTTTATTGAAGCAACTAAAACTGCCAAAGGTTGTTACTTGCAGAATTGATTTTTAATAAGAAACACAAATTTTATTAGCTTACTCACAAACTTATAAGTTATAACAAGCAGAAACAAAACCTGGGTGGCATTAGCAGTGGCAACATTGATCGAATAGCCTGCT